AGGTATATTAATATTTATAAATAGTTTATCGAATTTCACCTCGATAAATTTTTGCCATAAATCCCATATATTCATCATAACTGACTCGTCCATCTCGATTAAAATCCATTTGAGCTAAAACACGTTGAACATCAGCATCACTATATCCGATATTATTACGATAAAGACAGGTACGCATTTCATCACCACTTATATAACCATTATGATCTGTATCAATTTGATGAAATGCGGTTTGAAGTTCATATAATTGATCAGGACGAAGTCCATACATATTTGTTTCTTTACCAGCCATTGTTGTATATTAGTATTATAATTGTAACAATGCCTTATATATCTAAGAGTATCTCATGCGTACAATATATGAGAAGAATAATCCTTCATAATAAAACCTATAAAAAGAAAAAAAAGAATCATCCACCTACCTTATGTCAAAATCCTACGTCATTGTAATTTATCAAATCATATATGCTTGCTGAAAAGATATACTCTTTAGCGTATGCATATTTTGCGTCATTGATTATATTTCGCCTCCGAATTTGATAATTATTTAATTAAATCATGTTTTCTTTTAATGAATAGATCGTAGAATCTTGAAAATACGTAGATAAGTGATTTCTAGTAGTTTATTCTTCCCAAGAAATTAATACGATGGCTTTCCAATTACTATAATTCTGTTGTTTGTCCAATAAAAGTATCTGTAATATCATCATCATCATCATCCTTATACATCGAGATAATTAACGTTTCTATAGTAGTTAGGAAACAGTTGCTAATACATTTGAAATTGCTTTTTTTTGTTTCTATTTATATCAATAATTAGTTTTATTCGAAATTATTGTATGAATCTAATTAACGTTAGCTTCTGTTTTATATTGGAAAGTTCGAGTTCTCGCTTAAGAAAAAGTTTTCTTTTGTATATTACTGTAGAATAAACTCTATTACACGTACAAATTTCATTTCTATGAACTGCATACAGTTTTTAATCGAAATTATTAAATGGTTTTTTCATGTTCGGAATAGAATTTTCCAAGGTAAGACGAAAAGTCGAAGATAAATCGCTATAAATATAAGTAATCATCATAAAAGGAAGTGTTATATTCTTGCTAGAGAAAAAGAGAAGAGGGGTGACTTTACGCTTCTATAAACACACATGCCTTTGTTAAAAGTGAAGAAACAAAAGCCATAACTGTAGGTTAATAGAACAGAAAAATATTTGATGGTAAAACATTACCTATTTTTATTTTCTTTTTAAAAATCTCAAAGGTCAACAAAAAAATTGATGATTTACGGATTATTAATCATTGAGAGGTTCAGATAATATCAAATTCGTTCATGATTATTTCTTTTTGTTAACTACATTAATCAAAATGGTTATAAAAAAATGTAAGCAACTTCAATGTCTAATTATTAGTACTTTTCTACATTATTCTATAACGGCGTCGTAATGATGATGAGTAGCTGCAGTTTAAAAGTGTGTAGAATAGATTGTTGGCATCTGAGCTAGAAGAAAAGTCTGATTCGGACATTCTCGGCTATTTGCAGGTATTCTGAATCAGTCGGACATGCTCAGTTTTCGGTTGATACTCGAACCCATTGAGAATGTTCGAATAAGATTTATTCACCATGCATACAATAAATGACCTCATTAATATAAAGTCATAAAACTTATTTTTGGTTATCGTACTTTATGAACAAACATGAAAAGAGAATAATATATTTAACTCTCTAATTATTTATGATTTCTATTTGATGATGATCTTTTAAAATAGATACAAAATTGAAATTAATGAATTTCCACATGAATACCATTCTAATATAATTTTAATATACAAATGATTGATATGATTATAAAACTTCACAATGCTTCGAACTTTTAGTACTATGAAATGGGTACAAATGATTCTCTTGAGTGATATATATAAAGCAATTAAAAACTAATTGATTTTTTCTTTGCTGAATTTATTGAATAGTCAGAAAAAATGATACATTCTGTTTCGACTTATTATTATAGAATTAATACTCATAGAACAATATTATTAATGTTCTTAGTTTTGTAAGCATCAGTTATTTTTGAAGAGCCTCAGGCATCACTTGATTAACAGCAACATTTCGTCGTTGCCATTGTCGTAAATGAATGTTGATAAGTACATGCAGAAATTGTCGACGAAAACGTTCAGATACACAAAGATATATATAGAACGGACTCTAGATAAAAGAAGTTTATAAATAAAAGATAAATTAAGTCACATAAGACTCACTGCAAAAAACATATACAACAAATTGAGAGTTATAACATTTGCCAGTTCTAATTGTGCAGCAATATATGAATCTACATTAAGATCTGAATATGATATAATTATATTAACGATAGCATATGGCCAAATAGTAAAACTAGTAAAACCAATTTGTATTAAAACCATTGTTGTTAATTGTTTGTCTAATTGACGCCGGACAATAGGTATTGTTCTGAAGACTATTTTTTGCAAATTATAATAAGCTAGTAGACCAAAAACAAACATAATTATAAGTGGTATTAATCTATAAATAATGACATTTGCAACATAAACTAGATACCATTGAAAAGCAGCATTTGTAACTATGCAAGTAACTTGTCCGGTTGATATGAATGTAACTCTATCATAATAGATTAAACATGGAATACCATATAAAATCCATCCAATAATAGATATAATGGTAATACGATGAGCTAATTTGATATTACACAATCGTTGCCATTGCGGGCGGTGACAGGTTGCCCAATATTGATCAATAGTTGCCATACACATACTTGTCAATGAGATCATTATAGAAACTATGATAAAAAAAACTCTGAATTTGCAAAAGAATAATGAGGTTTGCGTCCAATCGATACTAAATCCTATACTACTAATTTGACTTGTAAGTCCTATTATTAATGTACAGACATTAAAAATTGACATAATAATTAAATAGAATGCACATGAACTTTCACGGAATGTACGAAGACTCAAAAAGATAAGCACAGTAAGACATCCACCAATTACACCTGCGATTAGAATAGTTAAACCCAAATAAATCGTTATTTGTTGTGAAATAAAATCAAGTCTTGACATATATGATGATGACATTTACGTTGTATTTGTTGCCTTTACGCTCTTATTTCCAAATGAAATCTAAATATTCTCATTTATTTTAGAGAAAATACACTATTTTTTCTTCATATGCACGGTTAGTCGCTATCATCAAAGTACACGGTTAATTATCAATTTTTCAGTTTCCAAAGTCTTTTTTAATATTTGCATTCTATTTCAGCCAATGAAATGTTTAATTATAATAATTAATACCATCTGTATATGTCAATTTCATATATTCGAACTAGAGATCGTATAGTCTGTAATATAGAGTCTTATATATTTCTAGATTTAATTCCCAGTTGATGGATAATGCTGAGTCTGTATTCCTATTATCTACTTTGGATTCACTATCAAATAAACAATCTAAACAAAGTGTCTAATCACGTCTTAAATACATAATTAAGAACAAAAGAAAGAAAACTAAAATAAAAGTCATTGTCATATATTCTCAAAGATGCGAGAAAAAAGCAATTATCATGATAAGATAACAATATTATCTTTGTTGTATGAGAAACGTTTTCAACTCCATTTTTCAAGAGACAACAATATATTGAATATTTGGTTTGTTTAATAGTTTTGAATCAGAATGCGAATGAATATGTACATCTTTATTCTCATTTTATTCGTTATCGTTTCTATCAATGCATCTATTCGTGTCATAGATGATTGTGAACTAATAATTGTTGGTGGGTCAACTGCAGCATTAGGTGCTGTTCTTTCTGCTTCGAAATTAATCGATAAAAAAGTATGTTTACTTGAACCAACTGATTGGGCAGGTGGTCAAATGACAAGTGAATTATTAAGTGCACCTGATTTTGCAGGCTATAAACTAGTAGATGAAAGTGGATTCATACTCGATGTAGGTAAAATTAATCTTCAGATAGAAAATCGAAATCCATTATTTACACAAATGTTAAATACACTTGGAAATACTGGTCGTTGTTCTGTATCACCAATTTGTTCTATTCCTGATCAATTTCATTCTCAAGTAGTTCTACCATTAATAAAAAATCTTCGAATTTACTATAATACAGTAATTAAACATATTACTAAAGATACAAGTGGTCGTCGTATTATAAAAATTGATGCTATACAAAGAATTGCAAATGGAAAAGAAAATCGATGTCGATTCTTATCAGAAGAATTACCTGATTAGTATTCATATAATGATAGTTTATGGTTTAATAAAAATAAATTAACATTTACAAATATATCCTATGTTATTGAAGGAAGTTCATGGGATGAAGTATTAGTTTTATCGAATGCAAGTTTTGTTCAAGGTTTAATGGAAGAATATGATGGTGATATATCTGGTAATGGAAATTGGTCATGTGGTCAAATTTTTACTATTGATTTTCTTGAACAACTTCATGAAAAACCCGTTGATGAACCATCAAATCCATTACCTGAACCAAGTGGTGGTGGTCAATATTCATTGTTAGGTCGTCCATGGGAACGTGCATAGACATATCCACGTGTAAATACATCATCAAATGATATAAATATAGTTGCCATTAATGATATAATTATTCAAAACCGCGTTAGAGGTAATGATTATGGAAGAAAATTCTTTTTCTTATCTCCAACAGAAGCACAACGGCATCGAGATATTGGAATATGGAGAGGTGGAGTTAATTTAGAAGCATTAAAAGGTGGAGAAGAACAATCTTACGGTTGGCATTATTGGTTTCGTGCAAATGCACCAATAGAATGGACTAATCGTACAGTATTTATTAATTCATCATCATGGACTGGAACATGTCATGGTTTAGCTAAAATGCCTTATTTACGTGAATCACGTCGTTCAATTGTTATTGGAAATTTTCTTATGAATATTTCAACAATAAATGGAAATGCATCAGATTTACATGGATCTATATTTCATGATCGAATGTGTCTTGGTGCTTATGATGTTGATATTCATCGAATGAAATTATGTAATTATCCTTCATATATTCGACAAAATTATTCTATTCTTCCTTATTATATTCCATTACGTGCAATGACTAATCGAGATATTGATAATTTAATTGTTATTGGTAAAACAATGGCACAAACGTTTCTTGTTAATGCAGCAACTCGTTTACATCCTATTGAATTTTCTAATGGTCAAGCAGGTGGTGTTGCTGCAGCTTATGCAATTTTAAATAATCTAAATAGAGTTGATCAACTATTAGAAGAACAACATCTTACACGATTACAAACATTAGTGAAAACATTTACACCATTATCATGGACAATTAATGGAAGCAGTGGCGGATCTAGGATTCTGGAAGAGGGGGCGAAAATTTTTTTTTTTAGTATGGAGGGGCGATACCTGGGGAGGGGGTGGGGGATGTTTTTTGAGTATGGAGGGGCGATACTTGGGGGGGGGGGCGATTTTGGTTAAAAGCTATTTTTTGAGTCCAACTGAAGTAGTGTGAACCTATTTTTTCGTTCATTTTTGCTGTAAAAAATCAAAAAAAAATTCGGAAGGGGGGGCGATCGCCCCCATCGCCCCTCCCTAAATCCGCCACTGAATGGAAGACGTTATCCAAATGATTAATATTGTCTCACGTTAAAAAATCAGAGTCTTGATTTGTATATGTTTTCAATAATCGATTCTATTCTAACTACACTTGATTTTGATTCAAATAGTTTAAGACATATCGAACAAAAAAAGTAATTTCTGTTTAGAATTATAACAAAACGATATGATTGATTTTTTTCGATCTCATTCCCGAATAAATCGATATATTTTAATATTCATAAAAGATTTATACCAATTAATGCATCATTAATAAACTATTAACTATGTTGAGACATAAAGTATCCTTATTTCAAGCTTCACTTACTTTGTCATTTAGATTTCTTCATCGTACAAGTATGACAAAATAATTATTTATTAACAATCGAGGTAGAGAAGAAAACAAATGACAATATTTAAGTTCCTATAATAGGTAACGTTTAGTTGAATTCATTAATAATCATGTAAACAGAATAATTTAATAGAGTTTTCAAAATTCAATTTATTCTATAGAATAATAATATATTATCATTGCAAAAATAAATAGAGTTACTTAAAATAATTTTTTATTATATGAAAATCATATAAATCAATTCTATAAAATATGTTGTCATGCAATCAGCAGTAATTTAGAGAAGGAAATGCTTGAAAAATTCTTTTTTTTTGTTCTTACATATATCACGCTTGTTCTGACCTTTTTTATAATATATATATAATGTTCTATTTAAGGAAGTAATTTGAATATATAACTGTCACTTATAATAGCAGAAAATGAAGTTTATTGAAACAAAAAAAATAAAAGACGGAGCGCGGTCTCGTCTCGTTTAGCTTTTAGTATAAAACTTATTTTTATTCTTCTATTTATTGATGTTATCAAATAATGTATATAGAAATATTTTAAAACAATCATAAATTTTTTGTTTTTATAACCATTATAGATAATAAAACAACATGAGTAATAAATTGATCTTTGATTATTTTTGATCTATAGGGAAATTTTACTTTTATTAGATGGACGTTTAGAAAGACCATTACCTCCAGTATTAGTTCATTCGAATCATTATTCAATTGAACTTCAATGGGAAAATGTACGAATTCAAGATAATAATCGATCTGAACATCGAAGATTATTTGATGAATCAGGCGCACCACGTCCAGGCTCTCTAATCTATTTACATCGACGAGAGAAAAAATCCGGTTCAATTTGGGAAAGTATTTATAGGTATGTTCAATACACATTATAATTAATTTCGTTTTTGTTTTCTAATAAAAATAGTGGATCAGCAATGTCATATAAAGTTGAAAATCTTAAACCAAATACTCAATATGAATTTCGAATACAATGTAAATCAAGTGTTAATGGTGGTGAACGTTCAGATTGGTCACCGATATTACAAGCAGGAACAACACCGGAACCAATGACAGGTGATACAGTTTACAAAGCAATTGCAATGCCTGGAAAAGATCATTTAGAAAAATTACTTGAAGTCTTGTATGATATCTAATTCATAAAAATAATGATAAGATGTATATCTTATAGAGGTCCAGAACATTATTTACTAGAACATCCCGATAAAGATGGAAATTTGCCTTTAATGCATGCATGTCTTAAACTTGATCTTGGGTAAATATTTTCCTTAAATATGAAATAAAAAAAATTTATATTTTATAGAAAAGTTGAATCATTAATTACAGCTGGTGCAAAAGTTAATAATACCATTGCATCTCGTAAAACAGCGTATGTTCATTTTTCATTATTATATATTTATCTGTATATATATATTTAATTTAGACTTATGGTAGCAGCTAGTGCAGGTTTTAGTAAAGCATGTACATTGCTTATTGAAAATGGTGCAAATGTTTATAGTAGAGATCAAAATGGTAAATAAAATTAGAAAAAAATTTTTTTTTTAAAATTATGTTTTTTCTATTAGATATTTCTATTTTACATCATGCTATTGACAGTAAAAATTTCGAAACTGTTTCTACTATTGTTCGACAATTCAATCAAGATAAAGACATTGAAATGAATAGAGAAGTTGGTATACATAAATGGACACCATTATATCGAGCTAGTAAATAGATTTCTATTGATTTCACAAAAAAATAAAATAATTAATTTAGTCGTACATGATTGTAATAAAGAAATAATTGAACTTCTACTTAATCATGGTGCAAATGCTCAGTGTGAAGATAAAACAACGAATACAACAGCATTACAAATGGCTATTATTCGTGGTAATTTAATTACAACACAATTATTAGTTGCACATGGAGCGGATACTCGATCACTAAGCAAAGTAGAATAAGAAAAAGGATTTATTTTCATTTTAAATATTTTTTTTCCTTCTAGACTGCTGGAAAATCACTTCAACAACTTGCTTTATCTACACACAAAACGGTAGGAATGCGAATAATGTAGTTCTAATATATAAATCTATTTCTATTTCAAGGATTTAATCAATTATGTCAATTCATTATTAAATCTACCAAAAAGTTAACAATAAATTATTTATGTCATATTTAATCAAGCTTCCTATATATGTATACTAAATCTTTGTTGTTGTGTATAATAAAACGAAACTAAATATTTTTCTGAACTAAGAATGATTTATTTTTAATGATATAATTTAAATTACATATGATTATTTTTTATTTTACAATTTAATTGATGATGTTGTTGTTGTTGTAGTTTGTTTTATTTTTGGAAGAATATTTTTTTCAACTGTTGTTGTTGATGGTAATGAATATCCGAAAAATTTTATTTCGGAACAAAATTCTGATAAAGCATAACGACTCCATTGTCCATTTGATTCACATCGTTTACAATGTGGTCCAAAAGCAAATGGATAGATAGCAAAAATAGTTGACGGGGCATAAAGTGCACCACCGTCAGTTGGTTTTATTTCACCCCAATCTGTTACTAAACGTGGATTAGCTCGTAATAATTCGGCATCACATCGAACAGTATCACATACTGTTAATTCAGTCCAAAAACCTGGAAAAAAACGAATAAATTATATTTTAGAATAAAATCATTTATTTACCATCACGACAAGTACGACAAAAATGAACCCCTTCAGGATCTGAACGTCTTTCATAGACAGTTGTAGATAGATCTGGTGCAGTTTCATGTAAATCATCATCAAGATATTTTGTATTATGATCCGGTTTTTCAATACGTAAACGTCGAAATTCAAATGGGATGACCATTTGTTTTTCAAGTTTATCAAGTGTTTCTAAAGTACATGGAGAAAATGTTCGTTCAATAATTGGTTCTGTTAATGTTTTTTTAAAAATTGCTTCATCTATATCAATTAATGGTGGTAATGGTGTTTGTTTGAGATCAATATAAGAAAGTGGTACTGATTGAATAGCAAAATCTGGTAATGTAGGTGAATATTTAGAATTAAGTAAACGTAAATTTCGAAGTAATATTGATGATGATGATTGATTATTTGATGATAATGATGATATTTCATCTTCATTTTGTTGAATTGAATTTGTATCAATAATGATACATGTTGGAACAGAATAAACTTGATATTTAAGAAGAAATATTGCAAGATAAATGTAAAACGATAACATGATGAAAATGAATCAAATGTATGATTTTTTCATTTAAATAAAATCGAACGAACGGAAGAGAAAGACAAAAAACAAAAAGGTATTAAGCTGTTCGGCAACGATAGACTATAGAGATTAACTAACGAATAATGTTTACCGATTCTTTCATGCAATCAATTGGTGTGAGACAACCATAAACGTCATGTTTAGGATCTAATCTCTTTTCACTTGTTGTTATTAATGATAACGTAACACGATCGATAAATCCGATATAGGCGTCATATTTTCGTTCTCAGTTTATTATTTATAAATTGTTTTCTTCAACTGTTCATAGAGTTTGTTTAGATTTCATAAATCCAACAATTATTTATAGGTCAATAAGATTTCGGAAAAAAGTTAAACAGTACAAAACTATTATATCATCTTGATAAATTTATAATAATAATATTTTTCTACCCTCAGGCAAAGTCTACTAAATAAACAAACATTTCTACTACTTAATAATCGTTTAATATTATATTATTTAATTACTTTTTACTTTTTTTTATTTAGACTACTGATACATTATCGCTCTATATTAAATATGAACAACATATCACAATAATCTTCTTAGTTATTACTGAAATAGGTATGTATTCAAAGATGATACAATCGTTATTTGATTCTGATAGAAATCTTTGTGAAAAGTTTCATTTCGAATATATATATATAAAATCATTTTTAAACTTATTGTCATGTACTTCTAACATTCATGATTATATGCAATAATTTGGTTTATTATTCATGCAAATATATATATACTTTAGAAAATAAATCTAATATACTTATATGAATACAAAATTATTTGAAATTTAATTAGACAAGCAATACTTATTTAGTAAAATATGAATAGATGTGTATGTAAGTGTATGACACTCATTGTCTAATTTAAAATAAAAATAAAGAAAAAAAAATGACATATTTGTAAAGATTTTCACGTGGGTAATATAAAGTGAAAATAAAAGAGCAAGAAGGTTTATTGACACTAATTAATATAGAATTTGATGTGACAAAATAAATTCTTCTTATAAATTCATTTTAATAATAATCTAATCTAGCTGATTTTGGGTAAGTTGGTGTTAATGGTGTTTGACGATAATATGGTATTTCCGTTTGAGGAACAACTAAATGGAAAAACAAAATTCAATTAATTTTTACAATAAAATTCTAAGAGAACAAGAAAAAATGAAATCTATTGATATCATTTGACCTACATGGTTGTTGAATAAATATTGTCATACTTGTTCGTTTACGCGTTGGAGGCTCTGAATAGAAAAAACAAAAATAATACAATCTGGAGATTTTTTTCTGTTTATTTAATTATTAACTCACCCGGTTTTGGCCAATCACCCGATGCAATACGATTTTCTCGCACTAGAATATATATACATAATGAATCTTTCTTTTCTTTTTTTGTAAATCTTATTTAATTTACTTATCGCATTTTCATTACGACGTTTTGAAAAACTTGATGATAGATCGTCTGATGTATTATATATTTGATAATGACGACGATTAGTTGTTGGTGCATATTGTATAGGTATACTTTTAAATGATAAATTATTACATCGTCGATAATTAATAGGAATCTGACGTCCTAATCCAAAGTTCAATTTTAAAAAATCATTATCAAAACAACGCCAACGACATCGATCAAAAAAAAA